CTTAAATGCTGTCAAATTTTATCATTTTGGTTTGAAGGTTTTTGTCATTTCATGGTTTTTATTGATCCTAAAATGAATCCCAATCCAGTTCAGTGAGATGTGTGCAGTGAGATGTCAACATCTTAGCAGTCATCTTAATCCAATGACAAATGAAATACTGAGATTATATTAATGAAGTGAATTTGTTATTGTCTTCAGGGATTTTGCAGATACCTTGAGAAGAATTTCAGTGACCTAAAAAAGAGAGGAGTTGTGATTGGATTTGATGCTCGTGCCCACCTTTCAAGTGGAGGTAGTAGCAAAAGGTACTTTTCAGGTAGTATTTTATAGGTGTCTTACATGATTCTTCATGGTCTTATAACTGCTTCAACAGCATTTTCTCTTTCTCTAGAAAGAATTTGAAGGATTTATAGTATTTTTATATTCTTAATACCAAGGCAGTTTTTATAGTTGTGTTTTGTCTTTAAGGAATAGGGAAGAAACATGTTTAAGTTGGGTATAATGATTTTATTTATTTTATTTTATTAGTTGGAGTGAGGGGAGGAAAAACTTTGAAATTCAAGGAAACAAATGGATGAGAGAATGAATAAATTTCCAAGGCTTCTTTTCTTGTTATTTAGGTTTGCAAGACTCGCTGCTAATACATTCATCAGCCAGGGAGTTCCAGTTTATCTCTTCTCTGACATAACACCAACACCTTTTGTGGTATGTTTCTCTATTAAATCTTTTCATATACACACAAATTCTGTGAGATATCAAAAATTAATACTTATATTAAGGAAAAGTAGACAAAACATTTTGAACTTTTTAAGTTCTGACTGCTTAGACTGCTTGCTTTATGTTTACTTAGCTAGGTTTGATTTACAATATCCATAGCAGTAGAAGGAAGAAGATGAGTAGAATATCTGTGACAGTGAGCTGTATTTGTACCCATTCGTGCTTTTGGGCACATTTCTTGAAGAAGTCATTTCATAGTCTCTAGCTTAACAGAGTGATAGAATATCCTGAGCCGGAAGGGACCCACAGGGATCATAGAATATCTGAGTTGGAAGGGACCCATAAGGATATGGAAGGATGGAGACTTAGTGTGTAACGTCCTTGTACTGATATAAAGTTTAGTAGATTTAAGGCCACATTCTTCACAAGACAAGTTAAAGCAGTGTTGCGTGAGCTATAGCTGATTGTATTTGCTGTTAAATAGCCAGGATTGAACTTGAACTGGACCTCTAGTCATGAATAATGCTTTATTTTCAATTCACTCTGCTTGAGCTAATTTATAATACTCTCTCCAAAACAATTTTCTTCCATACTATAATCACAGAATCGCCAAGGTTAGAAAAGACCTACAAGATCATCCTGTCCAACCATCCACACATCACCAGTAGTTCTCACTAAACCACATCCCTCAACACAATGTCTAAACATTCCTTGAACACCTCCAGGGTTGGTGACTCTACCACCTCCGTGGGTAGCCCATTCCAGCACCTGACTACCATATTTCCTAATGTCCAGCCTCAGTCTCCCCTGGTGCAACTTGAGGCCATTCCCTCTAGTCCTATCACTGGTTACAGAAGAGCCCAACCCCCAGCTCACTACAACCTCCCTTCAGGTAGTTACAGTGAGCAATAAGGTGAGCCCTGAGCCTCCTCTTCTCCAGACTAAACAACTGCAGCTCCCTCAGTAGCTCTTCCTATGGCCTGTACTCCGGACTTCTCACCACCTTAGTTGCCCTTCTCTGGACACACTCCAGGGCTTCGATGTCTTTCTCATAGTGAGGGGCCCAAAACTGAACACATGCTTGAGGTGTGGCCTCACCAGTGCTGAATAGTGGGAGTTCAGTTACTTCCCTGCTCCTGGTATCAATACTATTTCAGATACAAGCCAGGATGCTGTTGGCCTTCTTGGCTACCTGGGCACACTGCTGGATCATTTTCAGCTGAGCATTGACCAGGACCCCCCAGGTTCATTTCCTGCTCCAAGAACTGCTCTCACAAGACAATATGGATGAGAACGCTGCAGTTTTAGTTCTGGTTGCCCTACACAGACTTCCATCGTTACCCCAACACTTTATACTCTTAAAGATCTGAAGTGTTTCATGTCATTCAGAAGTACACAACAGATGCATTCAGCTTCCTTCTGTAAAAATGTTACTCTAGTGAGCCACAAAGTATCTGAAACAGAACTAAATACACTTGTTGTGTTTATGGTAAATGTCAGGTAATGGCAAGAGCTAAGGTTGTATCACATGGATCCTGCTGGAGCAAATGTAGCTGATCCTTTAAAGATTCAGTCTGCAGGAATCATATCCTGACCTTTTTATCCTGACCTTTTTATTTGACAGTATGGAAGTATTCTCATTTATATATCATAAAATCTCCTGTAATGTTTTTCATATTCCAGTTCAGTTAATCTTTTCTCTTTACAGCCATATACAGTAACTCATCTGAAGCTTTGTGCTGGAATTATGGTTACAGCTTCCCATAATCCAAAGCAAGATAATGGTTACAAGGTATTCCTAAGTGATCTATTTTTTTTCATTTTTGTTGTTTTTTAATCATTTTTTTTCCATGTAGAGATATTAATACTATTGTATGCAGTTCCTACTGTTACTGACAAAATGAATAGGTAATTTGATTCTTGAGATCCAGATCTAAACAATGACGTATTACAGTAATAACAAAATATCTTAGCTCTATAAAGCAGAAAGGTAAGTATAGTTCTGGAACGTTAGAACGTTAGAACGTTATAGTCTGGAGCGCTTTAAAATATTTAATAAGCTTAATGAGTTGCTTGTAAAAAACACTTGGATTAAATTCCATTGATTTCACATAGTATATTTTTTCTTTTGCTAAATGATACAACTATCAGTGTGCCTTTTTTTGTGTGTGCTTCAAGAAACAAATGACAGATGGCTGAGCGGCCTGTCTGCCAATCACATACCTGGACCAGTCATGTATAGATTGTTTCCAGAATACAAAAACAAAAGTTAGGAGGTCTTTCTTTGTCTTTTACAATAGAAAATCGAGGTATTAGACAAGATGATTTCTCCCTGCCTGTTCCTTCAGAATTTCTTGTCTCACTGTTTGAACTGTTTTGTTTTTTGTTTTTTTTTTTAATGTATTGATCTTGATAGCTTTTCCACATCAGTTTGAATGTCTCATCAATTACTTTGTTAATCAACTTCATTTTTGCTGGTGTTTTTGTTATTTGATGTGCATGTATACATGACCCAGGTGCTGTTAGGTATAGTTCCTTTAAGATTGTAAAACATCAGTAGGAGGGAGTATGCAAACAACTGTCTGAATTAAAACACAATTCTGTTTATAGATAAGCATAAAACCTGCTCTTGGATGTATAAGCAATTTTTTAAAAATAAAGGAACATCTTGAAACTTACATGAATTTGTGCTTGCTGTTGTGGCAACACTGCAGCTGTAGACAGCTGTAAGGTTCTTGTTTAGGTTTTGTTTTGTTTTGTTTGATAGTAGAAGTGTTTCATTTTTATTTTGACACTTTTTTCCTCTAAAGTATTGTTTTATATTTAATGATTATCTAAAAATTGAGAGGAAATATCTTGGGGAATTTATCAATTCCAAAGCTGGCAGACAGATTGAGCCTTGTTTTGTGTTTCATTATGAATTTCAGTGTGCTCTGATAAAGCTTAATAGCTTTTTTGTAGAACAAAAATAGGATTTCAGGGGAAACATTGAGAATAACAATAGAGAATTACTCTGGTTATTCTTCAGTGGAATTTACTATAATACTTTATCAATATCAAATACATCTTAGCAAACAAAAAATGGCAAAGCTATTCTACTGTATTAATGACAAAAATGAGCTCTTACTCTTATTATCATTCAGGTTTACTGGGAAAATGGTGCTCAGATAATTTCCCCTCATGACAAAGGAATTTCTCAGGCCATTGAGGAGAATAAGGAGCCATGGCCTCAGGCTTGGGACGATAAACAAATTGACAGCAGTGTGCTACTCCACGACCCGTATGCCACTATCAATAAGGAATATTTCAAAGACATACAGAAACAGTGCTTTCACAGGTAAGTAGTGTTAACTCTGTTAAGAATACGGGATTTTTCATGGCAGTTTAAATTGACCCAAGACAAGGCAGCTGTGATTCTGCTTTTTCCCTCCCTGTATTCTTGTGATCTTCTGTGTCAATACTGGCAGCTGTGTCATTACATAGTAAGTCAGTTCATAAACTTAGTCTGGCAAGAATCTAAACCAGTAAGGTGAATGATTGTTTCTGATTATATTATCTTCCTGTAATGATATGATTGTGCATCAGCCAAATGGGCTACTGTGTGCAGCTAGGGGAAAGCTAAGGGTTGATACTGACTATGTAACTTGATGTTCTGGGGTTACAGCCTTACAGTGAGCCAGACTGTTCTGATAGAAGGAGGTCGTACTCTGTTATTCTTCAATATGTTTCTGGTGACCTTGGGAGCCTTGCACATATGTATTGCTGTCACTTGCTTGGTATAAACTTTACTCAATAAAATTAAGTGGATGTTTCTTTTTGTAAATTAAATGAGCAGCAACCTGTTAGATCTGCCTGTTTACATCGCAATCTTAACTATCCCTGATCAGATGGTTTACATTCCAGAGTTGGGGATGAGGAATCAGTCAATTGTATTTATTTTCCACTCATCTCCTTTGGTGTGTATAGAGTGTATTACTCTCTTTCCAGTAATTTGCAGAACATTGGATACCTACAGTGACTCACAGATCTAGATTGGTTTAATCTCATTTTTCAGAAGTCATTGCCTTTAAAAACTGACCTCCTTCAGTTTATCATGTTAACAGTACTATAGAATACTGAGTCACAATGATTTCTGAATACAGTGAATTTTCATGCAGAATGTTCTGCCATACTCAAGTTTTTATTATTAATCTCTTTTATTTCAGGAAAATAAACAAGGAAACAAACCTGAAATTTGTTCATACTTCTGTGCATGGTGTAGGTCATAAATTTGTGCAGCTGGCCTTCAAGGCATTTGATCTTAGACCTCCTTTTGCTGTTCCGGAGCAGAAGGATCCTGATCCAGAATTTCCCACGGTGAAGTATCCAAATCCTGAAGAAGGCAAAGGTGTTCTGGTAAATATATATAATTAATATTTCTTAATATTCTAAATACAGTGTCTATGTGTATTTCTTAGTAGTTGCAATGTCTCAATGTTTATTTCTGGTCTATTTTTACATTTATCAAAGAAATTCCTGGTATCATTTCATTAAAATTTGTAACTCTCTATGAGGCAGTCAGGTAATAATTATCTGTAACTTTAAACTGTACTTTGTTCTGCTAACAAAGAATGTGCAGCATCTGCACCCAGAGCAAAATGATAGAATTCCTATTTAAAATAAATGAATAAAGAAAAAGTAGAGATCTTCACAGTCAATTTTTAAAAGTTTTTACAGCTTAGGTCTGAAATACAAAGGCTGAAATTGTTCTCAAACTACAATTGGATCAGGGGCAATCCTGACAATAAGGAGACTAGATTTTCTGATATGAGTATGATCATTTTCTTAGTGAAAACCCTACTGGCTGTAACAACAAAAGCGGAATGATGCAGGTGAAGTTAAATATCCTGCCTGTGCTCTGCTGTTGCCAGGCTTCTATCTGTGATTTGGTTTGAGTTGTTTGAGACTCATCATGAAATTGAGTGTTTGAAATTAAATAAACTGGGAAAGTTATTTGAAGTCTGTAAAGGATGTGAAAATATTTAGGAGTATTAACACTTTCCTGATGTTGCTTACCACTGTTTTCAGACCTTATCTTTTGCTTTGGCTGAAAAAGACGGGGCAAAAATCATTTTAGCAAATGATCCAGATGCTGATCGACTTGCAGTGGCGGAGAAACAAGAAAGGTATGGCAACAAATAAATACAACATTTTGGACTTAAACATTAGACTAATTTGAGGGATTCTGACTACCCGTGTTGCAGAGGAAGGTAGAATAGTCACATTTGTCCTTTTTAGACTAAAACCATATAGAAAACTGAGGGGACTGTAAGCAGAAGCAGAAGCAATTAAAATTAGACTCCACAAGAAAGCCTGAATAGTTATTTGACATTTGCATTTGAGGTATGCACAGAAATATGTGAACTGTTACAAATGCTCTGCTTCTTTAAAGCTAGGTTTTCAGATAGAAATGTTTCAGAAGACTGATGAACATATTTTCATATTGTGTTTACTGAGAAATAACTTGAATGTTCTGCACAACTTCTGTAGTTACCAGAGTATCTCAGGAATAAAGAATAATTGGTTTGTCTGTTGGTCTTGGCTTTCCTGTTTGTTGCTTTTGCTTTTGTTTTTTTTACCCTTTGCTTTCACAGCATGATCTAAGGAGGCTTCTCTGCCTAAGTAGGATGAGCTAACTGGCACTCTCCACTGTATCTCTGGAAATGTTAGCTGGCATATCCTGGAGTTTGGCACATGTCAGCCTTAGCTGGCAACTGAGCATTAAGGAAAATGCATAAAAAGCTTTAGTTTAGGCTAGTTATAATGGGCTAAAACAAGAATGCAAAATCACCCATGCTTTTTTGTCTTAAAACTTATGGCTATGGGATACTTAGAAGGGGTGTTTATTGTATGCACCACTACTGAGAGTATGGTGCTCTCATTCTGCTGCTGCTTTGCTAATTGTTTAGCCAGTCTTAACAGTCATCTAACTTTTGATCCTGCATTATTTCTAAATTCCACTGTAGCTTTTCATACACTAATTAAATACTAATATAGGCTTCTATGGTATCTGTACTTCTTTGACAGAAACCCCTGCTAGAACACATTCTTATGCTAAATTGTTGCTGTGTATTGCTTAATGCCTGCTGGCATCAATAAGTGCAGGAAGTGCATCTGCTTTGCTTTCACAACAGGTATTTTTACTGTAGGTCTAGATTTTTGTTGGTCTGCCAGTGTCTTTCTCCCCTTTCATGACTGGGATTTTGTGGGCAATTTTGATATCTGTTTTTTCCTTTTTCATTCGATTTTTCATGTTCAAACAATGTATATATATTTGTATGGTTTTTTTTTTTCAGTGACAGACTGATGTATTTGTCATTAAAAGAAGTATTTGTCACCAAGTCAACCAAAAATACTGATCACACAAGTACTGTATTTTCATGTCTGTGCATGTCTGTAATCATTGTTTTTTTAAATTTGTATCTGCTGGGTGGTTTTGTTGTTGTTTTTAAATTAAAATACGCCAGAAATATCACTTTTTTGTATTTGGATAAACTCATTAGCTGGTGTATATGATGGAGGAGAACAATAAGCATTCCAGGATTCTTTGGGGAATTTTTTTTTTTTCTTAATGAACATAAGGTATCTTGTTACTGTTACTTGGAATTCAGATGTGGTAGTTTTATTTGCTAGTTTTCATATATGTAAGAACCAGTAGAAGTTTTTCCAGTACTGTCCTTTAAATTCTCTATTTTTTTTTTTTCTCTCTCTCCAGTGGTGAATGGAAGGTGTTTTCTGGAAATGAGCTGGGAGCTCTGTTAGGTTGGTGGATCTTCACTTGCTGGAAAAATCAAAATAGGGATGCTTGTGCTATTAAAGATGTCTACATGTTATCAAGCACAGTTTCTTCCAAAATTCTGAGAGCAATTGCACTAAAGGAAGGTTTTCACTTTGAGGTAAGTTGTTAGAAGATTGCCGGATATACTTTTATTTGCTTTCCTACTCATTGCTTTTATTTCTAAAGTCTGTGGGGGTTTTTTTGTCATCACTCTTGTAGGAGACACTGACAGGTTTTAAGTGGATGGGGAACCGTGCCAAGCAGCTCATGGATCAAGGAAAAGCTGTTCTTTTTGCATTTGAAGAGGCGATAGGTAAGAAAGTATGCTATGTTCTGGTATCCTTTAAAATAGTGAAAGTGTTCTGTTCTCAAAAAATGGCAATCTAGTGCTGACCTTAATGGGAGTTATTGATATCAGCCACTTGGCTGATTGGTATTACTAGTATGCAGTCCTAATCTCTATTTAGCACCAACTATGGTGATGTGAACTAGGTGTTCATAAGACTTTAGTAGCACCACTCTCTACAAGTCTTTGAAAAAAGGCACATTTTTTAGGCTTCAAATGGAGTACTTGTAACTGACATCTTTTAGCAAAGTTTAACCATGAGCAAAATGTAAAACTTCCTCAAAAAATATTTGTAAGCTGCAAAGACATGTGTAAGCTGAAAGTACACAGGACAAAAATTTTAAAGCTGTCATACAATTTCTTGAGTATCTCAGTACCTGCAAACAGTGAAAATGTGACTATATAATGGATAATTCTCAGTGTTACCATGTACTGCTGTGGAGGGGTAATCACATTTCAGAGTCTCACACTTGCACTGTTCTAGTAGTGTGGCATTTCTTTTTTGTAACAGTTCCAAAGATATTCAGGAGCACATGGCACTAATATAAAACAAATCTGTCCTGAAAAGTCATTAAATACTTTACTTACTGAAATTAATTTTGATTAAAAGAGAAACAATTTTTCAAATCTTAGTGTATGCTGAATAAACATTATAGAATTAAACCAAAAATACATACTATGGCAATATTCACTTCTCCTTTAAACAACAGCCTGTCTTACCCTCTACTCCACTCCCATTGCTATCCCCCCAGTACTATCTATTATTCTTATTAAAAAAAAAAAAAAAAAAATCCATCAAATTTGTAAATAATAAATATTATTTTTTTCTTTGCTTAGGGTATATGTGCTGCCCTGCTGTTCTGGACAAAGATGGTGTCAGCGCTGCTGTTATAACTGCAGAGATGGCTAGCTTTTTGGCTACCAGGAATTTGTCTTTGTCTCAGCAGCTGAAGGCTGTCTATGATGAGTGAGTTTGATTATAATTGTCTAATCATCAGATTTTCTCCATTCCACGTAAGTTGCTTAATAGCAATCTATGGCATACAAAGAAACGAACACACAGGTATGGTAACAGTGATCCGGCGAGCTCTCCTATGTCTGGAGTTACATACATGATTTGGTTTTGTGTAGTTCTAAAGCAGTGATTACCTTCCTAGCTCTTACTCTATTCAAGAGATGTTTGTAACATTTTCTAGTTTTTCTGATGGATTTCCCCCATTTGAAAAGTTTGGCTCTTGAGCACTGCTCTTTCTTGTACAAAAGATTGGACTTTGTTTTGTTTCCCCAGCAGTATTGGTGCACTGTGGAGCTCATAGTGCTTAAACACACCAGATGCACAAAAACATTAATGGCAGAATGTGTCTAAGTAGCTCTGGCATATTTATGCTATCTGGCTTATTTCTGTCCTGCTTGCAGTACTACTTGTGATTAAATTAATTCTAGTTGGCACTTAGTTAGAATTTTTATTATATTATTCTGTCTTTCATTTTTTGATTGATAATGTATTTTCTTTCTGCTCCTGAATACCCAGATTTAAGCTGATTCAGCTGATGTGCTATGGCTGGCTCTGCTTGCTATATCCAACTGGGTATTCTCCTGAAAGCTTCGAATATGAGGCCTCCTTTTTCTTTTTCCTTTAACACATTCAAAGACCTGCAGAAATCAATAGCTGAAATGGCCGTTGGACTCTTTGGGGCAGGGTGGTTCATTCCTCATGTGGTTTCTAGGTTGGTTTTTAAAAAGGAGACAGCAGCACAGACTGGTGGATACTCTTCACCTCTTCATTTCCAGTGGTATCCCTAACAAAGCTGTGGTGGATCTTGAAGAAAGACTCATGGAAAACTCCAGCCTTTGTTCTTCTAGTTTCACCAGTCCTCAGAGCATTAAACATACTTGTTTCATCAAAAAATTAAGAAGGAATCAGGTGCCAAAAACATTGCAAAAACCGTGGAACTCATCAGCTTTTGTATGTAGCAGAAGTCTGAAAACAGTGTGAAACAGTAAAACAAAGACAAACAGAGAAAATCATGTCTAGAACTGCAAATATGGTATCTGACTTGGAAATTCTCTTTCCTGCTTGTAGTTGGAAGTGTATATTCAGAGAACTGTCCTTCTCTGGCATGTGCTTGCTTAAGTACTCATTCAGTAAACACCTGAATGTTCAGGTTGCCTTTAGAATTGGGATGTTTAACAGAGTGGAACTTAGCCA